CCCCATTATAGAAGGCCATCAAATTTGTCAGCCATGATTTATACTGAATATACTTTATATACTGAACATGATGTAAGTGGTATGGAATAAGGGGTATAGAATGTGCTGGTTTTGGCTGGGATAGAGTTCATTTTCTTCATAGTAGCCAGTATGAGGCTATGTTTTGGATTTGTGCTGAAAACAGTGTTGATAACACAGGGATGTTTTCATTACTGCTGAGCAGTGCTTACACAGAGCCAAGGCCTTTTCTGCTTCTCACACCACCCCACCAGCAAGGAGGCTGGGGGTGCACAAGCAGTTAGGAGGGGACACAGCAGAGATGGCTGACCCCAACTGCCCAAAGGGATATCCCAAACCATAGATGTCATGCTCAGTATATAAAGCTGGGGGAAGAAGAAGGAAGAGGGAGGATGTTTGGAGTGATGATGTCTGTCTTCCCAAGTAACCATTACACATGATGGAGCCCTGCTTTCCTGGAGATGGCTGAACATCTGCCTGCTGATGGGAAGTGGTAAATGAATTCCTTGTCTTGCTTTGCTTGCATGCATGGCTTTTGCTTTACCTATTAAACTGTCTTTATCTCAACCCATGAGTTTTCCCACTTTTACTCTTCTGTTTCTCTCCTTCACCCCACTGCGGGGGGGGAGCAAGCGAGCAGCTGTGTGGTGCTTAGTTGCCATCTGGGGTTAAACCACGACACTACTTCATTAGGTTTAGGAGACCCTGCAGACTGAAGGAAGACTGAATGGTCTTTTTAAACTCTTTCTTTAAAATAATGGTTTATTTACTAAATAAATTTTGACACCTTTAGGCAGCCCTGATTGTAAAGACTACTAGAAAGATAGAAGAGCCACTTAATCACAGATTAAGTGTCTCTATGGTGGTCCGGGTCCATTCATTTACTTATATGGATACAATAACTAAGAAAGATGCAAACAGCAATGGTATGTTACTGAATACCAGACCAAAAAAAAAAAAAAAAAAGGAAAAAAAAATCAAATTTCCTCCATGCACTTCTTCATTTCCTTTAAAGGTGGCAATCCTCCTACCTCTTCCATGCGTTCAATCAGCCGGTCCAGCTCACCAATTCTCTGGTCTTTTTCCTGTATGCTTGTTTCTGTAATCTGCATCTTCTTATTTGCCTCTTCAATAGCTTTCAGAAGCCGATTCGTTTCCTCCTTCAAATAAGAACATTGACAGGCACACGAACATACATTATATTAATGAGGGCTATTATTTTTTTTAGGCCATAAAGTCAGGCTAATAGCTTTTAAGCAGAGTTCAAAGCCCTGCCCAGAAGTCTGGAGGAGTTGTGACCCTAAATGTGAATTGTATAGAACAAAAGATTTGGGGCACTTTGAAGTGCATAGGTATTTGTAAAATACCATTATGAAAATCTGAGAAAAACTTTTAACCATTTCTTAGATATTTGTTTTCCCTTCTGAGGATGCTGCGAAGTAACAGCACAAGAAAAATTTGCTGATGCAGAAGACCGCATTTTAAACAAAAAGTTTGCCACGTTCAGCTTTGTACTTTCTTCACATATCAACCAATATTAATAGAGACTGGGGAATCTACCTTCAATCTCAGTCGTTTTCTATCTTTATCAGTTAGAAAAATGCAATGACAAACTGCTCATTGAAAGGTTTTACTTGGGGGTAGAGGGAAACCAGGGGACAGGAAGAGTTCTGTGAAGTTGTTCCCCCTCCCCTTCTTAAACTATCACTTAAAACCAACGTAATTTCAAATTTTGAAATCTACATTATCATTACTATTACGGTGTTTGATCACATTATTTTCTCATCCCTACAACCTCAAAAGCCTGGAAAGCTTAGTAACTGTGGCATGACTAGTCACAGAGACAGGAGTGAAGGAACATATCAACTCTCGAGTGTTAAGTGATCGAGAAATGACACCCAAGCTAAGCACCACTCTTAGAGACTAGCTATACATACTAGAAGGATTTCTTTCTCAGCTTTATGTTTCTGCTCCTCTTCTCGCATTTTTTCCTCATACTGACTATACAGTTTCCTTGTCATCTCTCTCATGACTTCAGCATTGGCCTCCTGTGATGATTCCACCTATAAGAGGGGAAAGGAAAGTCACAGTTGACTCATCAGTCAGTACAGCACTGCTGGCAGCAGCAGCAATGGAGTTCACATGATGAGAGAGTAACACTTTGAACTTCATCTCCACCTTGTTATAAATTTGACACTGCTGAAGCAAATTTTGATCAAGACCATTTACAACACTCTGCTAGTGCACAAGTAATCCGAATGGTAGAAGTTACCATTTCATCATGTTTCATGTTGTCTGAATTTAACTAGTTGTTGCTTATCCAAGACCAGGCTATGCCTCTTTACTGACCCCTTCTGTAACAGCCTCTAAGTCACTTGGTTTGTTTCCCCATTGAAAAGATATTGTCTCCCCTCGTTTTACAGAAGCATAGATTAGAGATGGTCTAGACTCAACTCCTGTTTCTAAATGACCGTGAACACTCAAATCAATAATTACTTTAAGCTGGACCTAAGTATATGCTGTCAGCTAGAAGACACAGCTGTACCCTCCCTCCTCTCTCTTGCTTTTTCACATACTGCTCTTTGTGTAGGCACGAGAACTGGAGTCACCATGGAGTAAAGCAGATCAGGGAACAATCAGACTTAATATATTCAGGGGTGTGGAAGGGTTAATTTTTAACCACAGGACCAGAAACTTTACTGCTGCTACAGGGAAGAGGGCAGGAATGGTAATTCAGAAACAGGATTTCCCCCCTTATGTTGGCTCAAAACACTGACTGAATCACACCCTAAGCGATTAAACACTAGATAGGATATTCACAGCTTAAACCCATCCTCTGTGTAAATCACAATAAAAGCAAAGTAAAATAGCCTGTCCAGGACCTAGTTCTCTTACTAGAGATGCTATAAATCAAACAAGGTTATAGTGAAATGCTGTGAGTGCTACAAAAATGTCAGGAAGAGGAGGAATATACAGTCATCTGGGAGAAGAATAAAGTGTTCCCTGCTGGTCACTACAGTTTACACAGCTACAAAACACCTGGCTCTGGTGATTAAGGGTTTGGGGGCTGTTGGTTTTTTTGTCATTTTGGTTTTTTTTTTCTCATTTCAAGGACTGAAAGATTTATTAAGCCCTGTGTTTATCTTGCATGGTGGGAACAAGCTGTTTTACTACCCTGTAGGATAACAACAGTGTATTTCATCCATTGAAAAGGGACTGAGCTCTGAAGGACTCCACTTGTACTGCAATTGCCCCCTTCGGCATCTCACCAAGAGCAACGCTGGGGCAGGGGTAGTAACCTGCACTTTGTGAGAGGGACTGGCGTAAAATTAAATTTCACTTCCACATTTCAGGAACCCTGAAAGAATCATATCATTTGGAAAAAGCCAACAATCAAAACCCAGAGTCCTTAAGATACAGTGAACTGGAATATGATCTCTGGCACTATCTCTCCATCATTCCTTTGCTTATAGCTTGAGCAATAAGGGGAGTAAAAACAAGCATGAAAAGGTACACATTGGGGCAGCTGTTATAGTACTCTTAAGCAACGTCTCCAACCTCAGTTACTGTTGTGATTGTATGAATAAACTGAACCTATTTAATAAGCTACACGGATGTGTTCTCCTACACAGAAAATAATTATGGCATATGGTAGTTACTGCTTTTCAACTGCTAACCTCCCGGATTCCACACCATCCTCTTATACCTCCTGCAACTTTGAGGGTAAAATTTAAACTTTTTCCTCATTAAGGCAGGGCATATATTCTGCAGACCCTGACATGCCTGAACATAAACAAATCCTTAAGCATTCAGTTGAACTGAGACTCAACCTGCCCTTCTCTGCGCTTAGAAGCAGACATACCTTTCCCTGACTTGTTGGTGCACGTCCTTAAGATTATAGTAAGTCCAAATTTCTGTTTTGAAATCTTAATTGCATCAGCTTTGCTTTCTTCTTTTAAGTGGTTTTTCCCTCTTTTTAGTGCCTGCTGACAATAGCAGGTACAAAATGCAGCTACTTTTATAGTGTCACATTTTTTTATAGCGTAAAGCTTCACTACTAGAGGAAACTAGAACATGAATTACAAGTTGAAATACTCTTATGTTAATGTTTTCTCTTTTAACCATTCATCATTAAGCATGATGTGTGTCCAAAGAAAAGCAACAAAACTGGTGAAGGGTCTAGAGCACAAGTCTTATGACGAGTGGCTGAGGGAACTGGGATTGTATAGTCTGGAAAAGAGGAGGCTGAGGGGAGGCCTTATTGCTCTCTACAACTACCTGAAAGGAGGTTGTAGCCAGGTGGGAGTTGGTCTCCTCTCCCGAGTAACAAGTGATATGACAAGAGGAAATGGCCTCAAGTTGTGCCAGGGATTGGATATTAGAAAAAACTTCTTCACCAAAAGGGTTGTCAAGCACTGGAACAGGCTGCCCAGGGAAGTAGTTGAGTCATCATCCCTTGACGTATTTAAAAGACGCGTAGATGTGGTGCTTAGAGACATGGTTTAGTGGTGGACTTGGCAGTGCTAGGGTAACAGTTGGACTTTATAATCTTAAATGTCTTTTCCAACCAAAACGATTCTATGAATGTAAGTCGCTAGAGCGCCAAGAAACATCTACTCTGACAAAATTAAACATGAATAAACCAGCAGTCACTTTAATTTCACAGTGACAAATTCTGAATCAATACTGTATCCGAATTAGTCTATTTTAAGCAATTTTAAGAGAGACAAAGGTTTCCAGAAGAGCTTTTTGGTTGTTTTGTTGTGGGTTTGTTTTGTTTTTTTTAAATGAGATTAAAAGAATACATTTGGCAGATGACAGGAGAGAATGGTCAAGCTTTCTGGCATATAAAACCTTCCAGTTTGCATTTTATTCCCTTGCATTTCTCTGAAAGAAATAGCTTAGTTCTCTTTACAACACACTTGCTGTTACAGCACATATCTGCTGACCATATGCTCGTAAAACGTAACAGATTACCTATTAAAACTTGTGCAATACCAAATAAACAAATTCAACATCAAGAAATTCTCATAGCACTGTGTAGAGTTATAATATTCATTTACTTACAGCAATGGACTCTAACAACCATTTAATGGTTAGAATTATTCACCTGCCAACATCCCTGAATGGTAATCCCATGTTATGGAAAGACTGACTGCAGCCAGCTGAGATTCTTTGTTACTAAAACGGTATTGATTCACAGGAATATATCAGCTCTAGGGAATGATGAAGGTATGAACAACGAAGAACCCTTTACAAATAAGGCCAAGGAATTAATTTAACATAGTCCTAATGCCCTTACGGGGCAATATTTTTAGGGGAGTTTATATACCGCACCTTTAATTTCAGTAACTGATTTTCAATTTGTGCTGTTTCCAGTTGCTTTTGCTTCTCTCTCAGCTTTTCCATAGATTGCTCATGTGTATGTTTTAAATTCCTTATTTGTTCCCTTATATCAGTGTTCTCCAATGTAACATCCACTAGAGTTTTCTAGAAGAAAGAGGCAAATCACATATTAAAAATCACAAATAACTTGGTGAACTAATATAGTCAAGAGATTAGGGAACAGACAGAACATTTAAGAGTTTCCTGATGTTTCAATGCAATGTGAACAGTTTTGCAAGTTTTAATTTTTAAAATTATGGCTTTTGTTGTATTTAGTTTGCTAGAAGGTATTTCCATGAGGAACAGTGAAATCAAGTCCTGGAACACTATAAAAAAAAGAAAGGAACATGGATACATTTCAGTACGAATGCTATTCCCAACAATCTTCCTTTCTTCTCTCCAAGGGCCATGCTATACATACTAAATGCACTAGATTGAGAAAAACTGTGATATACAAGAAAGCAGGAACATGAAGTTGTCCGGCTCAGATATGTGGGAATTTGGACGTCTTTGAAAAAGAAAATTCATTCCCATCTTCTCCCTCCCCGCACATTTCACAGGTATATAAAGTCTCAGAAGTGCTTAGCATACAAACATGCCACTTCCATTTCCGTTAAGCAGTGAAGGTAGGAATAAGTCAGGAGATGTACTGTTTTGCACAACACAGAATAAATCACATTTTCGCCTTAGACATTTCATAAAAACATGACTAATGGCATTAGTCTGCTGCAGATCAGTATCTCTTTATTGTACGCTTTTTTTAAAAACACAGGTCTTGGAAATTTTTTTTTCTTAGTTTCCTAAATTAGCTGCCTTAGATATCCAAGACAGTACTTTAAGGGCTTATTTAGTGTTAGAAACTATATTTGTCATCCATGTTTTATGTATGCTTTTAAATCCATGTCAGAAAAGGCAGTTGTCAGCTGTGAAACAGCTATTAAAATGTACCTGCAAGTCTATTGATGCTGATGTCAAGGAGCTGTTCATTTCACTAAAGCTATCTAAGGCTGCAGCCTGCACTCGCACATGATTTTCTAAGGATTCCTGATGAGCATTTGTCACCTAAGCAGGAAAAAAAAAAAAGTTTTATATAGAATAACGATCAAGTTTACCTATTCTTTCAAAGGGAGCTACAGAAGAGAAAGACCCCATTGTTAATTTTCATAGTAGTAGGATGCTTAAAATACACAGACCTCAAACCATATTCTTACACCTCAGAAACAAACAAACAAAATTCATAATCCAAATATGCTAACAGAAACAAGGCATGAGTATCTATGTTTATTGCTAGTCTGTAATCACTGTAAAAGCTGTTCTTTTTGAAAAGACAAGACGACACTTGGTAGATGTCTATTCAGAAAGTTTATATACACAGAATGGGCAGACTGTAAAAACTCAGAATCAAAAGCAAAAGAATGCAAGAAATGAGGAAATCTAGAAAGGTTTGGGTGAACTGTAGAATAGCCTTGATTAAGAAGGAACTGACTAATCAGGTACAAAAAGAAGCAACATTGAGAAGACTTAAGGATGAAGCAATACAAAGCAGGTAGGAGAAGTCAGCAGGGAGCTTTGTTGTGTGAAAATTTGTCATCTTCTGTTATGTACACACACATGCTTAAAAACTGGGG